CAAGACGATCAATTTGTCCTTAGTACGCCTTAATTAAATGCTCGTCGAACGAAGCCTACAGATACAGACACACGATCGAGAGTACTAAAATTCGATAGAGATATAGTGGAACATGTGTGTCTCTCGAAAAGCGTGTTTACTGCCAGGGCCAGGAGAGCCAGAAATCTAATAACTCCCGAGATCAAATACATATCTCGAGGAAAATGTGGTTTCGACCTCGAGGGCTGTGTTCTTCCGGCAAGAAATTTTTTTCTCCCTCGGAAAAACAGAAGTTAAGGTCTGAAGTCGATTGGCAGATCGACAAGGTCCAATGACGCATCAGAGAATTCTTGCGGACGAAATAAACGAAAGAACACACGTGTCAGAATTAATGAGATAAATGAATCGTGATAACTACTAGTGACGTAAGTAGTCGCAAATCATTCAATGGAATTTATCCTAATTGTGATTTTGAATACGCTTTGCAAATCGACTATTTGTGAACCATTGATGATATCTAAAAAACATTGAACTCACAGTTCGGTACTTTCTCCCGGTGAAAAGTAGTCGGTTACACTTTATGTCACATTTTATTTACTTGCGAGAACCACGGAAACGTAGCAAGATAAATTCTACGAACGCAATGGCCCGGATGAATCTAGCCGGAAGCAGAGATAGTAAGTCACAGGTACAAGTTTCCGGAAACCGATCGGATCAACAGTTCTCCAAACGAAACGAAGAAAAGAATAGTTAAAAAATAATACATTGTGACATAATTTTTATTAAATAAAATATCTCTCATCGATTCGTATAAATAAAAAAGCATAATTCTAATAAACGATTGATTGTAAAGCCAATTAAATATGAATACGTCGAAACTGTGTAACCGAGAAAAAAATAAAGAGAAGCATATTCTGTCGAAGAGAAATAAACCCGGTCGTTCGCACAGTGGATTCTTATCAGATTCCTCAGACGAGCAGACTTCGCTGTTGAACGATTTGTACAGAATAAGAACGGATATGCAAGGGAAGACGGTCGATTGGTTCGCGTCAAGTTAAATGACTTTTCGGAGCAGCTAATACACGTGCTCTGGGAAAGTTTCGCGAGCTAGATCGACGCTAGAACAGTCGAAAACTATTGACAAACCGAGGGCCCGCTGTCTTGTTCGAGTTCCTCAGAACCCGGAAATATCTGCGCGAGTTTCCATCCATATATTCTTTAATGCAACTCAGACGCACACGTTTCTATTTTCAATTTACCGAACGCCATGAGATCTCCGATCTGTTTATAATTCAAGCATGCAAATCTATGAAACGCGAAATCAAGTTGATGTAAATTAATGAATTAGGCTCGAGATGAAAATCTTTCATTGCTCCTCGAAGGATCAAGGAGCGAAATGAGTGGGAACAACGAATATCGGAACAATACCGGGACCCTTGAAGGGGGTCAACGTTAAACCCTCGGGTAAACGTTGCCTCCCTTCCGAGTTCGGGGTTAGCCGGGTTAAATTAAGCGACGAAAAGACATTCCGGGGAAAGAATAATTCCGGAGCGCGAAATATTCAAGGATCCGCGACTCGTAATCACGCCACAGCCGGAGTAATTAAATCCTCACCGCGATTCGTTCCCCCCCTGCAATATGCATGAGCGGATTTTTCCTACCCTCCCCCATGGCGGAAAGAACCAGATGAAAAGAAGTCTCCCCGGCAAGAAAGGAACCGTAAATCGCGTTTCGTTTCCCACAATCTAGAGGTTTCCACTGGATTTTCCTACCGCCGGTATTTAAAATGTAAACCTGTCCCCGGGCAAGGTTCCGTGCTTTTATTTCCCGGCCACGGTTCCAGCCGAGGATCGATTATTCCGCTGATTCGAATCTCGATCGGTTCTTAATCTGATTCCGAGTGAATCAGGAAATGCCAAAATTGACTGCGATTTAGAGATCTCAAGTACCGTTCTTATCTAATTGCAATCTATTAATCATGACTTTTAATGTACTCCGTAATTCGTGTAGATTATTCATAAGGAATTATTCTAAACCCAGACTCGATCTAATCACACGATAAATCTAATCGTTCTTCGTTTGCTGTTGAATCTAGTTTGACCCACTAACTGAGTTTAATAAATACCTGAGGAAAGCGTAGGAAAATTTTTTTAACGTGATCAGGAACGAGCTATGGTTTAATCGGTCATATTGGTCGACTTTAAAAAGTGTGTTTAGCACCGTTTTTAACTGTGGGATTAAAAAAAATTTACGAGCTAGTAAAAACGATCGTTTCACGTTAATTATTTCAGCTACCTCAGATTTCAATACGCGTGGACGGAAGAAGAAAGTTGATGCACGAATTAAAAATGAAACAGGAAGTATTGAACGAACCTGAATTCTTCGTAAGATTCTCTCCGCCTGACGTTCGCCCTCACATATTTTATTAAAAGTACATTGACACGTGGTCAATCAAACTCAACAATCGGTTTATTCGGTACGTTTAAATTTTTCAAACTACTCATCATGTTCTACTTCAAAATTAAACTCATTTTTAATTCACCCCGGTATGACCCGATAGCATAAATTAATCACGGAAATAAAGAATACCGTCTGAAATCGTAGAAACTATTGAGTTGTCCGGGGAATATTGATGACACGCTGTCATTATTTTCTGAATGTAAAGAACTCGCGCTGTATACCGGGGGCTATTGAAATCGTTCCATTAACAGACGTCGTAAATTCGCGTTGACGCTCCCACACCCTCGGTTTCAATCCGCGATTCACCCCTTTAACTACTGTCCTTTCCACCCGTCAACGCGGTCTTAAAAATTCACTTAATATTTTCCATGGAAATAGACGTCGTTCAACCCGAATCGATCAAGGAATTCTATTCGCGAACTCCGTTGCACTTTAACACAGTTCACAATAAAATATCTAAGCCAAATATTAAATACAAAAATGGATTTAA